TTCCTTCCTTCCTTCCTTCCTTCCTTCCTTCCTTCCTTCCTTCCTTCATCCCTTTCTTCCTCTATCCTTTCCTTTTACATTCCCTTCTTTCTTCCTTATAGTATTTTGTTTCTTGTAACCCAGGAATGAGATAAAAGAGAGCTTGGACCTCTAGCTGGAAATCTGGGCTGTGTTGACAGTGGGGAGTCTGGGTTGTAACTACAGGCAGCATCCTGGATTTTCTTCCACTGTTGCTCAGATGTTTTTGCTGTGGGCCAAGCAAGTTTTCTACTAGCCACGCAAGTACTTGTCCTTAGGAAGGGAGGAAAGAAAGAGGTGGGAGATTTTCCTATAGCCGTTGAGGGTCTCTTGGGAGAGGCAGAGATGGGCTAAAGTTTCTCCTGACCTGGATTTACTTCTTGTTTTGGTTGCAGGCCTTGGTTTTGGTGGTCGTACTGGGATGGGTGTTTGTCCCTATTTACATCAAGGCTGGGGTGAGTAGCCACTCTTTTTATTTTTTATTTCTTTCTTTCTTCTCATTAGCAAATACAAATGTGTGAATTTGATCCTTTTGGAGGCCACAGGGGACAGAAAATAATCGGGGTCTGCTTTCATCCCTATACAACCCCTCGGATATCAGGGAACCCCACAGAAGAGGGGGAGGAAAGATTGTAGGAGCCAGAGGAGATGGAAGCCACCAGGAGAACATGGCCCACCAAATCGATTAAGCAGAGCTCACATGCTCACAGAGACTGAAGCAGGAAGCACGGGGCCTGCATGGGTCTGCACCAGCTCCTCTGCGTATATGCTGTGGCTGTTAGCTTGGTGTTCTGGTGGGACTCCTAACTGTGGAGCCAGTGTGTCTCTGACTCTTTTGCCAGCTCTTGGGACTCTTTTCCTCCTGTTGGACTGCCTTGTCCAGCCTCCATATGAGGACTTCTGTCTAGTGTTATTGTATCTTGTTTGGCTGTGTTTGTTGTTTCTTGGAGGGCTGCTCTTTTCTGAAAAGAAAGAAAAGGGAGGTGGGGAGACCTGGGAGGAAAGACTAGTTTACGGTAGTTTACAGTGCATTGGCAAGAGGAGTGGAGGGAAGGGAAAGTGTGGTCAGGACATACTATATGAGAGGAGACTCTATCTTCAATAAAAAATGGAATAATTTAAAAAAAAAGAAGTATCTAGGAAAAATATAGCTTTATAAAGTATAAAGTCCATATACTTTTATTATGAAAAGACTGGATCAATTATAGGTAAGTAAATTGTAAAACATAAAAAAAAATAGCTCCTGATTGCCTGCAGGGGCATTAATCAGCCCCACTGGCTCCGTCCAGTCTAGGTTCATTACTCTTCCATTTAAGTGACTCTATTCAGATCCCCCTGAAGGACCCTGCCCCATCTCTCTGGTGTGTTCTTGCATTGCACCGCCATGGGCTTCAAACACAGCTGTTCACTTCCTCCCCTAGAAAGGAAACAGTTGAGAAAAAGAGCCATGTCCTCCTTCATTTTTATTTTTATTTTTTTAATTTTTATTTTTTATACTAATTACAGTTCATTTACTTTGTATCCCAGCTGTAGTCCCTTTCCTCATTCCCTCCCAATCCCACCCTCCCTCCCACATTTCCTCTCTGCCCCTCTCTAAATCCACTGACAGGGGAGCTCCTCCTCCCCTTCCATCTGACCCTAGTTTATCAGGTCTCATCAGGACTGGCTGCAATGTCCTCCTCTGTGGCCCAGCAAGGCTGCCTCTGAAAGACTCTATGTAGCAGTGGATCAAAGCAGATACTGAGACTCATGACCAAACCTTGGGCAGAGTGCAGGGAATCTTATGAAAGAAGGGGGAGTTAGTATGACCTGGAGAGGACAGGAGCTCCACAAGGACCAAATATATCTGGGCACAGGGGTCTTTTCTGAGACTGATTCTCCAGCCAAGGACCATGTATGGTTATAACCTAGAACCCCTGCACGGATGTAGCCCATGACAGCTTAGCATCCAAGGGGGTTAAGGGGAACAGGGAATGTCTCTGGCATGGACTCAGTGGCGGGCTCTTTGCCTCTCTCGCTCCTTCTTCATTTATGAATGACATCACCTCCTGTTTCTGAGCATGTGGCTGATCAAACATAGCTTTGACCTCACTTCCTCAATGACACACATAAGCACCTCCTACATATAAGTGTATGCGTTGGAAACTAAAGGTGAGTGGCATAGGGCAAATTCTACAGGATACACCTTCTGAAGGCCCACTGATTGCTGCTGGCACATTGGTCCCAGGAGACAACAGGCTAAGGATATAGGGAGCAAGACAGGAAGTGTGGTCGGAATTTGCAGAAGGTAACTGGCAGAATATTTGGGGAGGCCTTCAGCTGCAAGCCTTGGTATTGTCTGTGTAGGGCAAGGTGAGAGTCATAGTCAATCTGGACAGCTGCTTCAGTGCATTGGCAAAAGGCTACCGTTGTCTTATTTGCAATACATGCACTGCATAAAACATACATATAAACATAGACACACACAGAGAGACAGACACACACGAACACAAACGCCCATTTGCACGCGCCTCCCTGGCACGCGCCTGCCTCTTTAGTTGTGTCCAGTCGTGTTTATTAGAAAACACGGGGGAACTCTTCATATGTGGAACTGAGTGATGGGGCCCCCTAATTCTGCCTTTCAGGGCGTGTGGACCTGAAATTGGCCAACGCCATCCTTTGTAGATTTCCTGGACTAACAGGGTGTGAATCCCTGACCACACTTCCAAGGCTCTGACACCAGAACAGATACCATCGGTCTGCCTGCTCCGGGCTCTCTGTTCACGTGGGCTCCACTTCATCCCATGCAGGTGGTGACAATGCCAGAGTATCTGCGGAAGCGGTTCGGAGGCAAGCGGATTCAGATCTACCTTTCCGTCCTGTCGTTGCTGCTCTACATTTTCACCAAGATCTCAGTAAGTGCACTGCGGAGGGCAGAGGGCGGAGGGCGGGGTGGGCTTGGGGAGGAGAGGCTGGCTCCTCACTCTCCTGTGCATTCCGCCAAGAAGCCACCGGAAGTCTCTGGACTAAGCCTTCCTGCTCCTGCAGAGGAGGTCCTGTTCCATGCGTCAAGGGGCCAGCGGAGCTCAGTGGGAGCCCTTGTCCTCCACTGTGGTGCAAATTCACAGGCTGCTGAAAGTCCAGCAGAACTTCTCTGAAGAGAAGACAAAAGAGGGGTTGAGATGCCATTGAGCGGTCATTCCCACCTCTGGATGTACATCCAAAGGGAACGGGAGCAGCATGTAGAAGAATCACCAACTCCCATGTTTACGGAAGCCTAGTTTACAACACTCAAGACACAGTCAACAAAAGTGCCCATCAGCGAGGGAATAGATGGAAGCCTGGGACATTCATTCCCCCCCACCTCCCCTCCCTCCACATACACCCCACACCTCCCCACATACACCCCACACCTCCCTCACTCCCCACATCCATCCCCAGGCCACTGCCTTAGAAAGAAATCTCATCACTTGACTGTATAGGGGAATATGGAGGCATTATATTAAATGAAATAAACAAAGCATAGAAAGACAGATGCTCAAGATCTCACTTCCATGGGAGATTTTAAAGGTTAAGCTTATAGAAATAGATTTTTAATTTTTTTTTTAATTTAAATTTTCTGTGTATGGGTGTTTTGCTTTCTGACTCTCCCTACCTCACCTCTTGTGTGTGTGTGTGTGTGTGTGTGTGTGTGTGTGTGTTTATGCACATTCTTGTGCACATACTCTTGGTACCCCAGCATTTGGTCCCCTGGAACTGGAGTTATGATGGTTGTGAGCTGCCATGTGGGTGCTGAGAATTTAATCTAGGTCCTCTGGAAGAGCAGCCAGTGCGTTTAACCTCTAAGTCATCCCTCCAGCCCCTAGCATGTTTTTGTTTTTACTTTTGAGGCAGTGTTTCCTGTGTTCATAGCCCAGGCTGGCCTAAAACTAGTGATGCTTCTGCTCCAGTCCCGCAGGCCGTGGTTACATGTGTGTGAGACCTGGGAAACGTACAGAATTAAAACAGTGGTTACCCCAGCAGTCAGGGAGGCAGAGGCAGGCAGAGCTCCATCAGCTTAGGTTGGGACAGCCAAGGCTACACAGAGAAACCCTGTCTTGAAAAGCCAAGAGAGGGAGGGAGGGAGAGGAGGGGGAAGAGAGAGAGAGAGAGAGAGAGAGAGAGAGAGAGAGAGAGAGGCTTGGGAGATGCCCTAGAAGGAATAGGGTACCGAGAGGGAACTGTGTCTTAGTCTAGCTGTGAGCTTGTGAGTGCATGGGAAAGGGTGCATAGCTTTCCTTTGGGGCGGTCAGCGTTCTCAGGTTCACAGTTCAAGCTGGTGAAAGTCTATCGGCTGCAGTTGCCATGGAAAGGGTACTCTTTGCCCTAAGGCCTGTATAGGGGAGCTCATATAAATAAACTAGTGCCAGGCCTTTTTTTCCTGCTCATCTTATCACCTCACCTACTTTCAGGTTACTGATTAAACCTCCTTGGACTGCAGAGCCCCCGGGTAGTCAGGGACCAGCCCCTCGAAGCCCAGCATGAATGAAGGAGCCCGGTCCCCAGCGGTCACCTTGTCTCACATTTCCCGGTTGAGTTGTGCGCAGTTGCAGGCTGCCTCCTGTGCGTGGTTTCTGAGGCTCCTTGCTGCAGGCTCTGGACATAATACTTGTTTCACTTACTCATTAGACAACGATTCCAAAGATGTCCTGAAAAACACAGGAAGGTGCCTTGGAGCCGCTCTAGTTCCCACTGAGGGCTTTCCTGCTCTGTCTCTGGTTCTCATCCAAGTTGTCATCCTGTAGGGCTGGGGATGTGCATTTTATTTTCAAGTCATGCAAGAGAAAAATGAGTCCAAGAGAGGTCAGGTAATTTTCTCAAAAGCCACACAGCATGGGCTGGGGAGCCGGCTGGGTGTGTAAGAACCCCAGCCTGGAACAGCTGCTCAGGGAGAGAAATGTGAGCGACCCAGAAGGTGAGAACCGACCTGGAAAGCTTCCTCTGACTTCCCTTCGTGAATGCGCACACACGCACACACACACACACACACACACACACACACACACACCTGTCAAACTCTGTGATTAAAAGCCTTCTAGGTTTAAAGTTTGCCATGTCACGATTCTGCCCTGTGCTTAGGTAAGATGAGGCCACAGAAAGACGGAAAGGGTTAGAGTGTCTCGTCCCATGTCCTAGGCTGGAATTTACAGGTGGACAAACCATGCAGAGAGGGCACGGGGCCTGTGAGGCTCCACAGGAACAGACCTGGAGTGAGACACCCAGATCCTGACTCCCAAATCTTCTCACTGATGTCCTTCCTGTCTGTGAATAGTACATTCCTCTAGAGACAGGTCAAAACTCAGCCCCAGGAGGAATGGCAAGGGCACCGAGGGCAGACGGAGGCCGTGGAAGGACTGTGTGCAGGAAGCATCCGTGTCAGAGCGGGTGTTCGAGGACGGCGAAGGAAGGGTGTGTGCGCAGAAAAGCCAGACCTTGTCCTTATACATCTGTTGGCGTTGGGTTCACTTTGGGTCATTTGATGGCATTTTAAGAAAGATCACAGTGATGTCAGCTGCTCCTGTCGGGGGCCTGATGTTCAGGGACACAGCACTCCTGGGCACAGAGTTACTTCCCGAAGCACAGCGGTAAAGATTTACGTTAAAAAGGGATTAACCAGTGTGTGTGTGTGTGTGTGTGTGTGTGTGTGTGTGTGTGTGTGTGCGCGCGCGCATGTGTGCGCGCGCGTGCGAGTGCTCTTGTGTTTGTGATAGATGAGAACAGAGCGGGAAGCCTTGTTAGACCCGTATCTAGCAGGGAATCACCAAAGCCCTGCCAGGAGGGATTTGGTAGGTGTGTGATAGTGAAAGAAGAAGGCGCAGGGGATTGGGGGCACAGGCTAGCAGCAGCAGCCAAGAGCCCCCCTTGTGGCTGCCATCTTGTGGTCATGGCTCTTTGTCACTCCATGAATTTTACTGGCGCGTTTGAACACCTGGCGCATCAATCTGCGAGACGCATTTTGTTCGGTGAGATTTCCTGACATGGTGGACCTCATTCAAATACGTACAATCAGTTGAGATAAAGCTTCAGATTTTATGAATCACGTGACAGCTGAACGTCCTGGTTTTTATTTCCCGGAGCTGTTATCGCAGATCATGACTGCAATAAACTTTTTACAGCAACCGCGCTGTACGTTTTGGATCCTTGGGTAAAGATAAAAGCTTTTGCTTTGCTTAATGTCTGATGCTTATGACCTGGGCTGTTCACTTTGACAAATGGAAAGAGAAATTTGAGTAATGAGGCTTCTCCATAGGAAACCTCATCTCCTTGCCAGGCAGGACTTACGGGGTGCTCAGACACATCTTGGTTAGGATCAAAATAGTCCAGACATACACACAAACACACACACACACACACACAATCCCAGGATTTGGCTAAGCATGGTAGTGCATGCCTTTAATTTTAGCACTCATATTTTAGCATCTGTGTGTATGTGTATGTGTGTATGTGTGAGTGCATGTGTGAGTATGCTTATTTCTGTGTGTAAGTGTGTGTATATATGTGTATGTATATGTATATCTGTGTATGTGTGTATGTGTATGCACTCAGAGGCAGAGGCAGGCAGATCTCCGTGAGTTCAAGGCCAGCCTGGTCTACATAGTGTGTTTCGGGACATCGAGGCCTACGTAAGAGATACCTGGTCTCAGAACAAAAAAGCAAAAAACAAAAAAACAAAAACATTCAAGCTTCTGAGCTAAGGTCATGTGACCTGCCTAAGGCTTTGTTACTCTCCGAGACTTCCCGATAGAGTCCATGTCTTATTGGCCCCCAAGGGTGCCGTGGACACAGTTCAGCCCACCTCTCATGAAAATGGTGCTCTTGGGTTGACTCCAACTTTTTATCTGATGCTGTAAACAAGGTCTTATTGGGAATCCCACAAAGCACGAGCCTGTGTACTTGTGTTGTATTTGGCTGTGCTCTGCTTTCAGCAAGTCTCCGGCAGAGATGAGCGTTGAAGACCTTCCCTCCCCATTGTTGCGTGTCTGTGTGCGTTACCGGGGATTGAGTCAAGGGCCTCGGATACGCTAGGCTGTCCCCCTACCGCTGAGCTATTTAAATTAAAAAGTTTTTGAGACAAGTTTTCACCTAAGTTGCCCAGACTAGCCTTGGACTCTCTGTAGTTTTGGGGCGATGATCTTCCTGCCTCAGTGTCCCTGGCGGTTGGGATTATAGGCCAATGCTATCTACCATACCTGGCTTTCTACCTCATTCTTTATGGAAAAGGACTGTCAGGTCTTGGCTCAGAAGGATGTACTTTTGCTTCCTAGCCTTCACACAGTTTCTCTCCTTCCTTCCTCTCTGTCTTCCACCCTTCCTTCTCCCCTTCCTCTTCCTTCCTCTTCTCTTCTTTTATTTTGTTCTTCTCCTCCTGTCTTGGTTTGTTTCTCTATCTCTTTTCTTTTAGCGCTAACAATATCTTAGCACAGGAACAATCTGGGATAACCTATGAGACATAGTGAGGATTTGAAGGGCTTTTTTTTTTTTTTTTTTTTTTTAAATCAAGGCTGGCAGTGTATTCTCTAACTCATCCACCTATCTTTACAAGTGAAAGAAAAAAACCTTCCCCAAACATTTTATACATATGAAAGTACAAAGGCTAATACAACAAGCACTTTTCTACCTCTCAGACTTTATATATCTAAACTTATTTTAAAAAGAAATAAATCAGGACTTATGAACCCTTGATCCCAGTTCCCTCTTTAAAAAGTGGACACTCTTGATAGAGTTTTCCAGTCTATGATTTTATATTTTCACTTATACATACACATATTATCTCCTATCAATTAAGAACATACGGTTTTAAAATTTCTGTATCATCTTTGAAAGCATAAGGAAATAATGGCATTTAAGAATAATTTTAGACAGAGAAAATATCTGC